GGCGGCCGCCTCTGCTGATGGCTAGCGGTTTTTTTTTCCAGCCGATTCTGCTGACAGCTAGCGGCTCGATCCGCCAACTGAATTCATAATTCAGCCCGATTTTCTGAGATATATAAAGACATGTATAAGATGAGAAATGAGGAGCGCAATTTGACCTTCATAACAATAATTTCAATTATGTGTTATTATACCTTATCAAATACGTATTTGGTCGAACCTCAAACTATTTCATTTGTACCATTGATAATAGACAAAAACTAAGTTGTTTTTCTTGTCTGGCGTAACATAGATAATGAATAAACAAGAGTTAATATCATTCTAATTACCATTACAAAAGTAATTAGTATTTTTGTCATTAAAAAATATTTTTAGCTAGTAAGTATTCTAAAAAATAATATTAATTCTGCAACAAAACCGCTCATACCCAATAATGTAAGAGAAGCCATTGATAAGACGCCGTGATTCGTAGCCACGTGCTCTAATCCTCTGAGCTACAGGCCCCACCCCGTGTCCACCGGATCTATTCCCGGGAGTATACGCCGCCCCTAACTAGGTGTGTGGGACACACTCTACAGCGTCAAGAGTGTGATTCATCGTTCGGGGTTTTAACACATAAATCTTAATTTTTGAAATCTTTCAAAAAAATACCCGAAATTTTGAATAGCCATAACTCTCTCATCCGTAATCCGTTTCAAGCAAACAACATACTGTTGTGAAGATAATTCCAACAGAAATCTGGCCATATCTAGAAATTTCTCATATTAAAAAAAATGCGATCATAAAACGCGGTCGAAGTTACTAATTTCTAAATTTTGAGTCTAATTTTCTCTCAAACCGTTAATTCCAAAAAACTATTTCATTTTGACATGAGATTAACCATCATACAATCTACCATATATCCAGAAATCAGATAAAAATAATCAGCAGAAAATTGAAAACGAAAATGACAAGTAAATAGTCAAAAAACGATAATTTTCGGTATAGGATTTTCGTGTACCTCACTCCATGTTAAGTCTTACATGGAATATAGTGACTACCTATACTGGTTCTGATACCAATGGAGGAAAACATACCACCGGTTATATGTGTACAAGCGTCTACGATGGTTCCAAGTAGGATCTTTAATCAGACTCCGTTACAGGATTCACCATGAGATAGCTTCACGATACTCCAGTCATGAACATGATCATCTTTATGCTCCAAGTCACGATCCTCCATGATCACGATCATCATCATGTCA